TTTTTTTATTTTACTTAGTCTCATTTTTCAATCAAATCAAAATGGTGTGTAACAAATACAATCCTTGCAACTGTGTGAGTAAAGTAAAAGTGGAAGAAATAAATGCAAATGTGTTAAAAGCTCAAATAAAAACGTGCATAAAGAACCTATTTAATCGTTTCATCCATAGTGGTCACAATAGAGAATACCTATTCAAAAGCTGTTTTCCTTCACGTGTGAGCAAGCTGATGTCATACACATATATGAGCCTCTTCTTTCTATTCCATCTTGCCACTTAGCATACTACCACCTAAAGGGCAAGGGCAGGGAGTGCATGTTCACACATTTCTTCAAACCAAATGCTCTCTTACTGATATCTTGACAGACCATGTATATGTTGATGGCATTTTTTAAAAAAGGCTGTTAAAAGCTATTATCTGTCATTATAATGGGCACAGTCTACTGTGCATCCTAGGAAGGTAAATCTGCTCTTTATAGTTTTTGAAATATTTCACCACATACTGTACATTTTCAAGCTAAACTAAAGCAATATTTTTGCAGATTAGTTAAATTGATGTGTTAGTTTGTTTTGAATGAGCACATTATACAGATACCAACAGGATGTCTGATACAGCTAACATCTAATTGTACTTGATAAATTATCGTTCCACAAAATATGGTATTATCATTTTTTCATTTTATATCCCAAACTTGTTTTATCTGTTTTGAGTAGACAGTTGAAAACTGATTAAATGTATAGGTTTAAAAAAAGATTTTGAATATATATATATGTGTATAATAATAAACACACTTGGAATAGTAAGTATAAGACAGATATGTACATAAACTACAGTAAATGTTGATTTCTGTATATTACCCTTCTGATTTTTGTTTGTTTGAAGTTGGTCTTCCTTAATAGTTTTTCAAAACCTTCTGAGATGGATAAGACCTGATAATTTCTTCTAAGGATTTGGCATTTTTCTGGTCATTTGCAGTCCAGCACCTTTCAATTCATTTGAAAAATGACTCACATTTTCTTTAATATTAGCTGTAGGTTCTGTTTGAGTCTGTCTACCAAGCAAGAGCTTTTTAAAAGACCATGGAAAAATTTGGCTGCTTGGATGGAAAGCTAAGGGTATTGGGACAGTATAAAAAAAGCAACAAGAATGTAATATGTGAGAAGGTATTACCAACTGGATGTGCTCTTCTCACTAAATCCAAATATCTAAACCCCTTCAGCAACATGAATCATTTGTTCTAAAACTTTGTTTGAAATATACCCACTTCCCATTTTAAAAATTCATCTCTCTTTCTCTTACTCATCTAACCCTCAATGTAATGTCAGAGTCTCACTGTCTGTGTGTGAAATACTCAAGAAGCAACAGCTCAGTAACCACCTGCCTGTGTGCTACTACTGTATGTACCTCTATTTCTGATGTTCATCTTATTATTTTCACCTCTCATGACTGGGTTAGCTAAAGCAAAAGGTAACAATTTCTAGAGTGTTTTTTACGCTGTTTTTAATACCTCAATTAAAATTATGAATAGAGCAGAAGGGAAAGTACTTTAAAAAGGCAATGAGGTATTCCCGCAAGAAAATGTTCCTGTTGCAGCCAAAGTGGTACATCTCTATGATCAGTAAAACTATCAAACACATATGGATGAACACCCATGAGTACCTGTTCATCCAGCCATGAAATCCAGTCCATCACTCTTTCGCTCCAACTGTTGGTATCTGTCGATGCCGTATCCCGTGTGGAGCAGTGGCATCTTGAGTCAGCAGTGCAGTGACCTATAAGAAGCCATTTTTCCCCTTCCTTTCCCACATCGCTCCATGATTTTGTTTTAAAATGAACATCTCCCTGTGGATGCATTTACAACCCTATTTTCAAGGATGTACGCTCCATAACTTTTGCTGCTTTTGCTTTAATTAATTTTCTCAGCCAAATGGATTTCTTCAGAGAATGCTACTTTTGTATTTGTGCTGAGAATAGCATGTTGTTTTATTCTTGCCTGTTTAGTTTTACTTTCATCTTTCTTTTCTTGTATCTTTGCAGAATATTAGAAATGTGACATTTCTGTCAATGGATCAAAGAAAGATATTTGCTTTTTAGATCCAAATGTTTAATTCACAAATATCAAAAAGTAAAGCACAACTAATAAAACTAAAAACAAATGAAATTACCACATGATAGTTTCAGAAATATGTTTCAGACAGTGTCTTAAACATTATTTGCAAATTCTATTGCAAGCTAAGAAAATAGTCACAGGTTTACTAATCCTTATTATGGTTGCATCTTTTTTTTCTGATGGTGGTGGATGGGGGGGGTCGTTAAAGTCTTCAATAAATACCATGAAACAGATGGCATGATCTCCACCTGTAAGTGTCAATTACAGAGGTTAAACATCATTTTGTGTTTAAAGCTATCAGTGATATTGCCACCATGAATGTATACACGTTTCTCACATCCCAGCACCCAGAATGTAAGAGTGGAACCATCAATACTTGAATGCTTTTCCTCAAATAAATTCTTAATGGAGCTTGTTAAACCAAACAGAAGAAGGTGACCGGAAAGTTGCCCCTTACATCACACTCTGATTCTGATCATTGAAGCACAACGAAAGGTTTGAGAAAGAAAAGAGCTGCAACTCACTAACGGGAAAGACAAAATATATCTACCCAACTAACAAACATCGTGAGGTCACATATTTGTATGCAATCCAGGTATTGCGTAATTTCCTGTTTTGATTGTTGTAGACCTACGCCCTCTGGTGCTGCTCAGACTCTCTCTGTCTGAGCCAAATTCCCTTTCCTGTGATATCTCTAAGTTACTCTAACTTTCCAGACATACTTTTAAATACAGCTTTTACTGCTGCACTTTCCTACTGGGTTATGCTCACACAGCTTTTCTGGTAGTAAGGTTTATCTTGACTAGGCTAGCACTTGTCTAGCACAGACATGGCTTTTCTCTCTGTCCCCCCTGACCGTTTTTTTACTCTCTCTAATTCTCCCTCTCCTATCTGCTACTCTTTGTGTCAAATGATCAGTTATTGTTATTTCTCTGCTTCCTTTAGTGATAATGGTACTTCAATTCATTTCAGTTTATTTATATAGCCTCAATTCATAACACACATCATCTCAAGGCACTTTACAAAGACAATTCAACCAGATCATACAGCCAGATTGGTTCAAAGTTTTCTATCTAAGGAAAACCAGCTGATTGCATTGATTCATTGACTCTTCAGCAATTCCTCACACCAAAGATACATGTAGTGACAGTGGAGAGGCAGACAAGCTCCAAGACAGGACCCTATCATAGGATGAGAGAGAGCACATACAGTTAGTAACAGTAGGAGAAATAATTCTGCAGTGAAAAACAGGACAAGCTCCTACATCTATAAATGTTATCCATTTAATGTGTAGCATTTTAAAGTCCTGACTTCGCAATATTGAACATCCAGGATTTAGTGCAGGTGAAGCGGTGAAAAGATTGGAGCCACTTAGACCAGGGACACATTCACATAGTGGTCCTGCAGCAGTTAAAAAAAGGCAGTAACTCGAAAATGGTCATGGTACTCAGAATGCATAGTTCTAGATCTTAGCAGATCATTATCAGATAATGCACTTATACATTTTAAAGAATCTGTTCCACTTTATATCTATACTGTATCACTGAACAATACTGCAGGTAAACATTTAATTTATTCCCCTTCACAAATGTATGATTTTATTGATGAGGACACTAGCTCTCTCTATACTGCTCTGGACAACAGAGCCCCTTTAAAAAAGAAGAAATTTAAAAATAGAAATATTGCTCCTTCGTTTAATAGAGAGCTGTGAAGTAGCATTTGAGGTAACTATGCAATCTGACCGGGGTTTGGACTGTGTGGATCCAGCTGAGCTTTCAGAGTTAGTAAAATTGTCTTCATCTAAGCCTTAAACTTAGATTAAATAAGTTATTCAAGGGACCTCCTCCATTTTAGACATGATTAATCTATTTGTGCTACAGGGATATGTACCACTGGCTTTAAAGGTGGCTTTAAATGAACCTTTACTTATGAAACTGTCTGTTGACCTGGCTGTGTCTTTCCTGGACAGGACCACCTGTGGAGCTTGTGAACGGTTACCTTTTGTTTATTTGCTACTTTTTGTATGTCTGCTTCTATCTCCCTGAACACCAGTTGTCCTCGGCAGATGGCCTGGTCCTGCTGGGGGTTTCTTCCTGTTAAAAAGGATTTTTTCTCTCCCCTGTCGCTACATGCATCCTCAGTGTCAGGTATTGCTGAAGTATCAACGACAAAATTCAGGCAAACACTGTTGCAGCAAGCTCATACAGGAGGACCATGTCTTGCAAATCATTAACTGGATGTAATCAACTGGTTATCCTAACCAGTACGACAGTAATAGCTCTGTAAAGTGCCTTGAGATGACATGTGTTGTGAACTGGTGCTATATAAATAAATTTAATTGAATCCCAGTCAGAAAAGACATTTACAAATACACAAATAGCATCCCACATACACACTTATGAAAACCACTACTCTTACACATACAGACCAGACATTGATACATATTCTGTTGCTGTGAAATTGCACATTCCAATTGCTATAACACAAAACATAATGTATTACAAATGATTATCTGTAACCAAAATAAAAGAACTAGCATAAAAAAAGAAGATTGTTGGTTCCTGTCTGTCACTCGTGGATCCAAGGGTAAAGGTGGACATTACAGCAAGAAATTGACAGATTCTTAGATTTTTCTTGCCATTTTTTGATTGGATATGACAAAATAGCAGAAAGGGCAAGATCATCCAGTCCTCCACACTTTACAATCACACAAGTTTAGTTGAGGGGTTAAACTTTGATGTATTTAGGTGTCAGTGTGTGAATGTGGGTTCTAGTCTGTCTGGGATCATCACATGAGTTTATAACAATTTACAGATTTATTACCTATAAATGTTATTTTCATCCCTTGCTTTAACCATTCTATCTCCCTTATTATCTTTTTTTATATTCAGGACTACAGAGTGAATATTTTCTTGAGGCAGCAGTGGAATGACCCCAGGCTTGCTTACAGCGAGTACCCCGACGACTCACTGGATCTTGACCCATCCATGTTGGACTCCATCTGGAAACCTGACTTGTTCTTCGCCAATGAGAAAGGGGCCAACTTTCACGAGGTCACTACTGACAACAAGCTCCTGCGCATCTCTAAAAACGGCAACGTGCTCTACAGCATAAGGCAAGTGGAGGACACGCTTGGTCTTTCTACTGTTAAAACCCACCAATTTTGGATCTGTTCTTGCTTCAACACACCCAATTTTGCAGAATGTCATGACATTATAAGGGGACAATTTTACTATTTGATTCAGTATGGCAGAGCTGGCAGATTTTAAAACCGAAGGTGAAGAGTTGGGCACGGCTGGTTTAAAGGTTTTTAGACACAGTTGTTCAATCACTTCACTGTAGATTTTCTCTTAAGGATCCTTTCTAAAAACAAACACACAGAAATTGCTCTCAACAGGTTAGTAAAATATTGTGTAATCTTTAAGATACTTCATTTGAGCATTTGGAACAGAGTAATGGGTGATAATAACATGCCTGAAGGCCCCTGGGTCACATTTCAGTGGATTTTGCTGAGACTGAAAAACTCAGATTGCAATGGATAAAGCTGATGTTATACTTGAACAGAAGTTACATATTTGCTGACAATATGATTTAGTAAATTAAGAAATCCACCACCACCACACACATTACTCTTCCCTGTCCCAAAAAGTTCACAGAGCTAACAGAGCATCCATCAGACAGCATTCAACTTTCCATACACTGCGTTTCTGGTTTTATATTGTCCCCCTGGCTTGACAATGTTGAACACTTATCCCATTTTGGGACTGTTTTGTGTTGTCCTTAGGAGATATTCAGTACATAATTATCTGTAGAACTCATAAATGAAATTATATGAGGTCATAAAAGTCATATATTCACATTAAGGGACTCTGTTTCTATGCAACAAATATCTAATAGGCTGCTGATGCTGAAATATATCTCCAATATATTTTCAATGTTTTCCAGGTCTTGATTTTGGCCAATACAGATCACTGACCTCCAGGAAAAAACACTTCATTGTTCATAAGTCAAAATGTTCTTGAGCAGAACATTAATTTCCTCTTATTTGTAATTGCATAATCTCTAACTGTAAAACTATAGCTTATAGTTTACAACCTACTCTTATAAACTATTTTTTTAATTAGGAGATTACTATAAGTAATCCTGAATCCAAGAACTGTATTTACATTTACTGCAGTTGCTTATCATTCAGTAAATAAACAATACTGGAAAGATTGATGGAAATGAAACAAATTGAATAAACTCCTTTAAATTGGCAGAAAAGTTTTTATTCTCACTTGTGCTTGCTTTTGGCTTTTGCGAAAAATGTGAAAATGGTTAATGCTCAAAACAAGAGATAGAAACACTTTTTTCGAATTAGGTCTAACAGAGAACTTCTAACCCACATGACTGATTCTGCTGTCTGCATCCTGGATTTTCCTATTAAAGGTAAGCTGGTATGAACGATGCTAACAGCAACTTCTAAACATAGTGTGCACAAGGAGAAATGAGCTTGTGCATGCTCTTGCTCACGTTTAAAAGGAGATCCCTCTTGGGAGCTGGTACAGGGTTATGCATGTGCATTTTTTTTTAAAGTGGAGAGGGCGGGGTCTTTTCAAATTTCGCGAAAATCCTCTACTATACCTTCAAGTATGTAAACATGGCTGACATTACTAAACTGACATGTTCACATAAGAACAACTTCCCCAATGGTAAAACATTTAATAAAACTTCCCTCTGTCACTGATCCATGGTCAGTGCTTGATTGCAGCCTCTACATCCTGCTTACCACAAAGTCACATTTCTTTTCTTTTTAACTTGCTTAACTTTGCTTAAAATTTAATTTTCTGTTGAACGTAAACTTGGCTACAGATTAGAGGCTCTAATGTTAATTTATGATTGCTGCTTTAACAGCACTCAGCCTATATTAACTTTACTTATAATGTTGACATACACTTTGACACATGATCTAAGCCCTAGAAACAGAGGATACATATTTTGTTTCAGACTGGGTTCATAAACAGGCCTTTGATGCCTTTTTTACAATGCGTGGATAGTGATTAAGAAGTTTTTTAGATATCCAGATTAAATTAAGCCTTGAGTCAGTTTCACAAAAATAGGAACACATAAGTTACAATGCTGATCTATTATGTGCCACTACCCTGGTTTAGACCAGGCTAACAGCCAGGCTTGCTTAGTCGTGGTGCCTTATCTGTTAAGTTAGTGGTCACACCAATCAGAGAACAGTTTTGTGATCAGTGATCTGTCTTCTGATCTGTGTGTTTTGGTTATTTTATCAGCATACATTAAAATACAGCTCATAGGTATTGTTATACAGCAAGGCACTGAAATAATTCTAATATGGCTATAGTAGATTATACTATTATTAACTTTATAATTATCAATCCGTGCTTTGTTACTGTTCAACTGTGTTTTTGAAGATCAGCTTTTGAAGTTGGATTGAAAGGGCTTTAATAGGCTATTGCATGAGTTGAGTGGATTAGAGATGTGGCTGATAAAAAAGCAAAGCTGTTGTCGATAAAGTCAGGCTAAGAAAGTAGCTCAAAACGTGTGTCCTCCTTTCAATGGTGTGCCATTTTTTGAATGACATTGTAGACAATGAAGCACTTGTTTGAGGAGGCCTTTCTGATGGCAGAGTATTGCAGGACAGGTCCTACCTATGGACTGGGTAGGACCTGTCCATGGGTCCACTAGCATTACCAGCCTGAGTATTACGTCTTCTATGGAAATGGCATCTGCTACCTTTACAGACTGCAGGGTCCCAAAGTTTAGCATTGCACCAAGCAGAGCAATATTGTGATCGTTACACAGACCATCTGTGTTAAGTTTATATATATATTTATATGTATTCAATGGCCAAAGACGAATGAAGGAGGGATTTAGCAGCAATGCAGGTAACATCCGAGTCAGACTTCACATCACAAAAGTAACTTTAGAACAGCTGGACTGCCGTTTTATTTTTGTTTTATACAGGCTTCCCTAATGTTGTTGCTGTACTAGACTGCACACTTTATAATTTTCTTTGGGGGGGGGGTGTTCGGATCTGTCACATTTCTTATGCTTTAAATGGATGAGAGTTTGTTTCCCCTATTGGTTCGTAGCTTTTGCAGATTTCAATACAGAATAGCCTACTCTGGCCCAGACCAAACAATCACATGAAGACCCACTTTCTGAGGTGGTCTCAGTTTGCTTCCAAAGGGACTGTCCTTCGAGTAGAAGGACATGTTTTCAGTTAAGAAATTAGACAATTTCTCTTCTATTTAGAATAAGGAATGGATGTGCTGCTCTTGGACTGCTACCCGCTGTATCTCCAGCAATCTTTGGGTATACCCTGGCATGGCACCAGTTCATTACAGGGCAGCACAAAGAAATGCCGCACAAAACTAGGTGCACCGTCTGGGGTTCAAACCCTTCTCCCTGCAAGGCAACAGTTCTACAAATTCAGGTCCCCAGTACAAAATGTCTAGTAGTACATTACTGTTTAGGGTTGGTTTCTTTTTCCCATACCTAATCTGTGTGAATTAGGTATGGGAAAGTGTTCAGCTTTCCACTGGTTCTGCAAAAATCTGCTATTCTTCTGTTTGTTTTGTTTCTGCGTTTTTTGTTGTTGTTTGTTTTTCTTTTTTGTTGTTGTTTTGCATTATTTTTACTGATTAACTATGTCCCATTTTCGTTTGAATCAGACAAATTGAAATCCAGTACATTTCTCAGAAAAATGATATTTTCGTTATTCTGCACTTTTTGGTTGTGTTGAAGTTTTCTTTTTGAGTGTTCAGTTACACTTTGATTCATGTCCTTCTGTGTTTTTTTGGTCAGTGGTCTCATTTCCATTTTGAATTATTCTATTTGTTGTCTGGCTGTATTTGAGTTCTTATGTATTTCTTGTTCACTCACTGTTGCCCCCTTGTGTAAGTCTCCTCTCCCTTCTAGCTCCCTTCTAGATCCTTCTGTCAACACCTGCTCCCAATCAGTTGATTACTCTATTCTTTGTTATGTCTGGGATTTATACTCCTCCTCTACAGTTACTTAGGGGTGGATTTTCTTCATACATTAGTTAATCAATTAATTCATTCTTTCATTGCCTCCTTTACCTATGTGTTTCCCTTTGTTCCCCTTTTTCTGGTTCCTGTGTTTGGCGATGAGTTATGTTCAGATTTATGCTGCAGTTGCCTCTATTGGTTGTTAAATCTGCAAGAAACCACCTCAGCTTCCATCTCTTCATTCAGGTCCTCTAAAAACCTTAACAAAACCTGACAGCAGAAACCAGCCAACAGTAACTGAAGAGGAGGAGTTTATATACCAAACATAACAAAGAATGGAGTAACAAACTAATTGGGAGCAGGTGTGGACAGAAGGATCTAGAAGGGAGCTAGGGGAAGGAGACTAACACAAGGTGGCAACAGAGGGTAAACAGTAAATACATAGGAACCCAAATACAACCAGAAACAATAACACAAAATGAAAATTAAAACCAATGAAAACAAAAAAAGAAAACCTAAACAGTACCAAACAGTGCAGAACAATGACAGTTAGGAGTTATTTTGGTTTTCATGATATTCATTTTATAGCTTTCTTAATGAACAAGGAGATTTGAGAGAGAGCTTGAAATCAAATTCTCTTGTAATATTTTAATCAAGAGGGATTGAAAAATGATTTGATCTCCCTGGAGAGACAGTTTTACTGGAGCTTTTTTTCTTATTTAATTTTTCCTTCTCTCCAGTTTTCAATGTGTGGCATCCTGTCTCCAAGTTACAGCCTCCTTCAGCCAACAAACCTTTCAGCCCGTCTGTGTTTCCTTCTTGTTGCTTTTACTGTATCTGCTCAGGGCGGATGAAAAAAGCACCGCAGCACCGGTGGTAATCTACTCAGTCCTGTTAGTATTCCAGTGGTGTCTCTGATCTACTATCAACCTCGGCTTTCACCTTCATGTCCAGCAGGAACAGTAAGAAGATTGTCCTTTATAAATATCGTCAGAGCTCAGAGGCACCTTGCGCTCTTCCTTTTGTGCCTCTCATTTTTAAACTTGACATCGTCAAAATGAGCTCCTCTGTTGATCAGCTCCATCTCAGAGGTGATGTGGCAGAAAGGGATATTAAACCGTCGGGGGGGGGGTGAATGAGGGTGGTGTGAATGTTGTTTACTCTGTTTTTGATGTTTATCGCTGTAGAAAGTCTACATTGATGCTGCATTCTCCTTCGAGAGGAAAGTGTTTCTTTGAGATTGGATGACCAGGTGTAGATGGAGGCGTAGAGCTGATATGTTGTTCAATTTGTGCAAGTCGAGTGCTGTATCAGGATGGAAAATGTATATTGTGCAGGTATATAACCTTCTCAGATCAAATGAATTTGGTATTTTATACTAAAAGGACTCAAGTTTACATATTTTTTTCTCTAAAAGCAGACAATAATGCAGAATACAGTACATACTGTGTGAGACGTGCCTTACCTATCCAATTCCAGAGGATTTTATCTTTACGAGTGGAAAACCAACGGAGAACATGATGTGAAAGAAAGTAGGATAAATGCACAATTTTCCGTAAGCAGTTATTTCAGCTTCAGTTGTGCAAAACAATTTTGTTTTTATCCTCATGACAAACTGACCCCTGCCAGTGAAATGAAAAAAATATATATTTTGCATGTTGAAAGCCTTCTTATCCATTTACCTGCTCCACCAGCAATCTCTTTTGCTTCATCTGCTGACTTGGTGCCGGTCCTCTTTCAACAGCAGCAGGAATAAAACAGGACTGATTTTGAATCCATCTTCCTCCAATAAAATTCTACACATTTAGGTATCCTACAGCTTGCTCGGAAAATCTTTCACACCCTCACATCCTTTATTCCATAAACAACCCCAGCATAATTTAACTATAGATAATTTGCTGTTTATGTAACCATAACTATCATAATCATTTTATGATAAATACAGGTTTCAATAAGAAAGAATTTTGGGGGGGATTTTCCGTAAACTCAGAGGATAACACAGGATCAGAGGTGTTATGGATTACAAGCTGTGGTGGTTAGAAAAGGGCACATACTTTGTGCAGAAAATTGGAAAACCACAGAGGTAAACGACTACTTAGAAAGTGGGACATCTGTGCTGGTTACATTATGTGAGCAAAACATACTCAGCATCCTGTCAAGGATTTGTAAGGATGTGCAGACGCGGCAAAGTTTATCTGGTGCATCAGCCGGACGGGATGGGAGAGTTGTCGCAGTCGGTGTCCGGTCAGAGAAGAACAGAAGGACTAAAGTCGAGGAGTCGACTCAGCTTCTCCTAGTGGGGACAGCCTCATGAAGGCTAACTCTGCAGAAAATAAAACTGGACACGGATTGTTTTTTGTTTTTTTTTTCCTTTACTGGATTAAATTATCTTTGTTTGTTATGTTGTATGTTTGTTATGTCGAACAAAGTTTCAGTTTTTAAAAGTACGGAAGTAGGCAAAATTAGTTTTAACATAATTTGCAGCTGTGTGTAAGTATGAAAGGCACTTGATTTTAGACTGTTTCCCAAATTAATAGACAGTTTTTTTGCTACTTTTTTTAGTTTAATCAAATGAATTATACATTTTTACAAATAGTTTATATACCCTTATTTTGGGGGGATTGGTTAGTTATTTTTCCTGGTATTTTGCCCTGGTAACACTTTTCCTGGAGCTTTGGGTTCATATTCCGGTTTCTAAGAACAATTTCACTTCATGGAGTTTGAAAAGTTTACTTTGTGGAACCTAAACTTTTGACTTATTTTACCAAACTTACAAATTAATTTCACATGATTTATGTGGTTTATTTGTAGTGCCTCAGATGTCATTAAAAAGTTATTTGACAGAAAACCTAATTAAATGAACGTCTAGGTGAAATTTTGAGGCTTTGCCAAACTGAAAAGCTTCTTTCTAGAATTTTTTTTCAGAAATGTCATATTATTCTTCAGGCTGCCCTTGAATATATGGCTTTGTTTTATAAAAGTGACATATAGTGAGGTTCTATACATCTGATCAGTAGCTTCTCAGAACCTGCCTTCATTTACTGAATTTAAGGGTTATGACCAAAAATGTACAGATCACATTCAAAGAACTTTTAGATCTCTAGGGATCACAGACACAGATAGCTTTCCTTTGCCGTAGACTTTATATTATACTCACTGTAATTTGCCATTATTGAAATCCCCAAGCTGCTTCCCAGAGATTGCAAGATACTATTTTGAACCGCCGGGTAGCATTTTGCGGTTATAGTTGTAACTATAGTTGTAACATGTTACTTTCACATGTTACTTTCCTGTAACTACTAATGCATCTTACAAACTGTTACCTGTCCAGTAGTTTAGAGTTTTTCCTGGGTTTTGCAAACATTTATCTGTATTTTCACTCTTTTAATTTTCAACTACCTTGATTCAAATGTTACAATTTTATCCATTATTTTTTTCGATACTTATTTAGTTTGTGAGTCAAAAGAACAGCATATGGAATTAGGGCTTGCTTTCACACTTTTTGTAAAAGGGAGGTTATGAGAAGTATTTATTAAAGTGAGTCTTTAAATGAGGGAAAATGTTCCTTCTTTAAACTGACTAATTCTATGTTCACACCGCAAGCAGCAGGTATAGCAAAAAAGTGCGTGCTGCTTCATTTGATGCTTGTACAAGTTTAGTTCTTATTTGCGGCTGAAGCATCTTTGCTGCTCCAGTTGCGCAGTTGAAAAGTGGCTCTGAGGCACGTTGGGAGGAGCTACCCTATCCTTTTTATTTGCTTTGATCGGTGGGTAAAAAGTACTTTTAATATGTTTTTAAGTGCAAAAGTCCACTGGAAAACTTAATCTATGCAGTCAGTTTATCAAGATTATGATCCTGCCTTCAAATATTATTTGGCTGTCTGAGCCACTCAGACCCCGTACACCGGCGGTGCGCTGTCACTGGAAATCCCGTTCAAAGGCAGCCTCTGGCCCGGTTGCCTCTTGCCAGTTTTCCGCTACTGTTTGCAGTGGCTGGCACCCGAATAATTAAACTGAATATATTTTGCCAGCAGGATTCAACATTTTAAGTTAATTTAGGCATTAATAAACTTTTTCAGAGAAGTGATCACAGTGATCTTTAGCACTGCTGTGTCTGTCTCCCTGCCAGCTCCCAGATCAGCTTCTCTGATCTGGGAGCTGGCAGGGATGTGGCGGTTGATGTGGCGCGTCGAGCAGGAAAAGTTCAAGTTGTAGCATAATGCTACGTTCAGAACGCAAGCAGCAGGGGCAGCAGAAGCAGCTAATTTACATGCAAAGTCAATGGTTGACGCACATCAATGCACAGCAAAACGTCCCACAGCGCACTTTGAGCAGCGGGAGCAGCACGTCTGAGCAGCTGAAGCAGC